TCTTGAGTTCTTGAGCTGGGGCTCACTTGCGATAAAGAGTGTAAAACATTTTTTCTTGCTTAAAATTACCATAAAAGGAAAATTTTAACAAAACGGACGTGATCAGGAGAGAGTTTTAATTATATAATTATTAATATATTGTATAATAGAAAATATATAAGAAATATGTATCTTGTTTACTTTTTCATAATATATTAATTAGTCAATTTAAGATTTCAACCAATTACCAATTGAAAATTTCAATGTAACAAAAATTTCAAAATCAAATTAAAATAGACAAAATTCTTCAAAAATTCTACAAAATTTGTTAATATGCTTAAGAGAAAGAGTTGTTATGAATATTTAATTAATAAAAAGAATTATATATTCATATCTTACTAATCAGAATACTAGCTTATTTATTTGTCTCTAATAAAGATGTTTATTTATAGTAAACTTAAGATTTTTATAGAGTTTAAGAAATATATTTATTAATGGACTTTTAAAATTTCAAATCTCAAAAAAAAATAAAAAAGTATATTTTTTTTGTATAATTCTTCTTGTTATAAATTAAATAAATGAGTTTTTGAATGTTTTAGTACTAAAATATCCAAAGAATTTTTGAAAAAAAAAAGATAAACAAGTAAAAGAGACTTTTGTCTTTAGAAATATATATTATTAAAAAAAGTGTTTAAACTTTGTTATTGAAAAATAAAAAAAAATTTCAAAAATGTTTGTTTTTTGAATTTATAAAAGAATCAGTAGGAAAAGTTAATTATTTTAAAATTTTTGTAAAAGTTTATATTAATTTTTATTAGATTTATATAACTTTATAATTTTTTTATCGCTTATAACAAATGGGTTTATCTTTTATTTATATATATACGTTTAAAAAATATTGTTATCAAAATAAATTTAAAGTAATATTTTAAAATATATTAATATAAAATCAATTTTATTTTATTTTATCAAAACTTATCAATTTAATTTCAATTAATTCAATTATTATTATTAGTTAAATTAAAAGTTTTTTTATATAATTTTTCTAATCTATTGAATATAACATAAGTTAAAAATCAATTAATTAATTATAAAGATAATAAATTTTGTAACTATGTGAATTTTAATTCTAGATCTTTTTCTAACAATTTATAAAACATCACTATTGTACTATAAATTCTTAAATTTATATAATAGTTTTATTTTTATAATATATTTTTATTTTTATTTGTTAAACAAACAATTATTACCATATAAAAATACAATATACAGTATATACACTACATATAATTAAAAAATTATATTTGAGTTAAATGAAAAGTTTAAAAAAATTATTAAAAAAATTGAAGAGTATTTTTTTGAAAATTTTTTTGAAAATATTGATTTCTCATGTCTATATTGTACAGTATTTAATAAACATTTGTTATAAATAATTTTCAATTAATTCCTATAAGGATGTAAGAAATAAATTATTTAATATTTTATATTTACTGATTCTCTTTTGAAGATATTTATATATTTTTTATATTTATATTTCAAAAATCATTAAATTATACAATATATTAAATAAAATGTCTAATTAAAAACTTTTTTTTTAATAAGTTTAATAAATGTGTTTAAATAATCACGATTTTCTATATATGTTGTATGTATGTTGCATACAATATTTATTCGGATCTCATATCCAGAGAACTTTATCTCTTTTTAAATTAGAGTTATCATTATAATTTACATGTGACAAATAAAAGAGTACTTATATCAGTCTAAAGAATGTTAATGCGACTTATAATACAAAAAGGTAAAATACGGTTGAATTTGGAATTTTCGAACCATATGAATTAAATAAATATACATATATAAATAGAACCCTTTATTTTTCGCTCTCTACTGAATAACCCCAATTCAATATACAATCAGCTTATCCTTTCTACAAAAGCCGGATCCACCCATCCCCTTTTACCATTTTCAATATTAACAGCAAACCACCAATCACCAGTTTCATTAATATGTATAATTTTAAGCGGAATTCCAGATTCAAAGTTTAATTCAGTTGAATGTCTTGATTTATTTCTGTAGACCGTTTGAACCATAAATAACGTCTCGTCATCTTCCTCTCCCGTCAAGGAATCATGAAATACATCATCGTCGTCGTCATCTCCAATGGGTGTTTGGTGTTGAGCCAGTACACTATCAGTTGCATATCTTTTGTGCACCCCGAATTGATGTTGTCTTTTCTTAATTGTTCGAAAATCTTCATATTGATCCTCTGGTTGAAATTCGTAGTTTACCAGATCATGTTCAAGATGGGTCTTAGTGTCTAACGACTTGTTGGAATAAAACGACGAACGATCTAGACGAGACAGAGCATGAGTGTTAGTAAAATGGACACCACATGGGATGTTATTTTGTCATTTAAGATTTCCAGAAAACCGCACCTAGACTTCCGTCTGACCAAACGCCACCTTTAACGCGATCTTTTCCCAAATGAAAAGGATGTTAATGTTTAATGTTACGAAAAAAAAGAGCGCAAGATGCCTCTGACCAAGTAAAAATCGATTGATTACCTGGACGAATTGAGGATTCCTCAGATCTTCTTGTTGGTATCATGGTACCTGTTCTTTGATCTTTATCAGTCTCACCTGTGAATTCACCATTAAATATATTGAAATCATTAGTATCGTTAATGCGTACACCAGGTATTCAACCATGTAAATTACCTGAGTCATCATTTATTAGAATAAATTCACCCAATTGATCATCCATACCCAAACGACCATGATAATAAGAAAAATATTCTCCGATAATGTCAAAGTCTTTCAACACTAGTTCCCTATCATTGGATATTAACTCTAACGCTTGCGAATCAACAAATTTGCAATAGTATTGTCTGAAATCCATATCCATTTGTTGATAAAAACGCGCCTGAATCTTTATGAATTCCTGCACGATAATATCAAAATATTGGGTCATTAATTTAAAGAATTCCGGTAATTCTTCGCGTAATTGAGCCGATATGGACACATAGGCGTCCGCAGATTGTTGGAGTGATTTATCAGGCTAATAGTGATTGGAAAAAAGGGAAACATTAGAGACAAGTAGAGTCTCATCGAGTGAAATATTTCACTCTCACCGTTGCACCTCGTGCTTTTATCGCGTTTGCCCGATCGAAATCCAAGATTTTTTTTTCCCGTTTTCGCATTACCGTTGTAGGAGCCTTGAACCGTGCGAGGAACTTGTCAATCTGAGGATATACCACTTTTTTGATGGCCTCCTCCTAATAATAATTGGTTTTCGTAATGTTATTTTTTTGCACAAATAGAAACTCTATCAACTAAGCGGTGACGAACCATTTCCTTCCCACAAGAAGAGGCAAGACCACCAACGGCATTTTTGTATTCGGTTATTTTTTTTATGTATTCGGCATTTTCATTTGACACTTCATGTAGAAGAAACTCTTCGATTGCTGTAGCAAAGCGTTGCTGATCTTCAAAGAACACTGCCAATGCATGAAACTTGAAATTAGATCGATCTTAGAAGAATCGAAACGGATTTATCACGAGCCGCATACCTTTTACGGATTTCACCCACTCTTTTATATCCAGCGATAATTGTTTTCCTTGTTGTTCCAGTTTCCTGAACTTCTGGAGATACACGTTGTAGAGTTCGTCTTCGGTGGGTTTAGCAATGCCAGTGGCATGTTTTATCTAACGAAACGGTTTGTTTTTAGAAAAATTGATAGCAAGTAAAGTCAGTGAAGATCATGGAATTCTATTCCCACCATTTGACCCCTTCTCGTTATAGATTTGGTTATGCCGTGACTGCAATGAAATTTTATTAGGATAAAAAAATTGACAAAAAAAGGAGAAAGGATTCGAAAAAAACACAAACACAAGCTGTTCAAAATCGATAAAAAGAATTGATTAAAATCGGATTCAAAGAGAATAAAAAATCAACGACAATTAAAGTAATACGTACGACAGCCTCATTCCTTTTCTTGTTACCCACGATTTTCTCAACTATGTCCTTACGTTTCTTTATATCATTAATACGTTCAGCCACAGCAGTGATCTCTTTAAAAGAGAACTGGAGATGTTCATAATCTGGATGGGAAGGTTTCGTTAGTGACAAGATTTGCTAAATAAAAATTGAATTTAGTTAATTTTTTTTTTTCTTTATCTTTACAAAGTTATGATGAATTGGAAGCCTCATACCTGCAATAGCAGAGGATATTTCAAAACACGTTGCACCGGTTTAATTAAAAGACTGGCGATATCCCAACTTCTGGTTCGACCCTCGCATTGTGATTTACATTTCTACGGAATAACAAAATTTCAGTATTATTGTAACGCAAAGGAAAATGCATCACGTTTCCATCTGTTGCGAGTACCTGTAAAAACCCTTGGACCATTTCGTCGTTATCAAATTCTTGAAGTTTTTGAACGGACGCCTCATGACGTTTACAATATTCTCCATAGACTGTTTCCATTCTACTTTGTTCCCCTTCGTATTTTGTCATCTGTCAAGTGGAAATTATACATTAAGCCTTAATTAGCTATTAACAAGCGATACACAATCAATAAACCATTAATTACCATTTGCACAAATGCCTCTCCGATTGAAGTACCCTCATTATCTGACTCAAAATTCTTGTCATCATAACCATCGTCCGATTTATCAATTCCAGCACTAGCCTCTAATAAAGCTAAAAAGTCCGCGGAAAAATCTATAACTTCGGGGAGATTTATAAAAATGGTTTTGCAGTCATACGGTTGAAAAATTGGAATTTCCTGAGCTTGTATGTAGTAAACCTATTCGAAAAAAAAACTCTGAATATTATAACGGATATATAAGAAAAAGAAAAACGAACAATCCTCAATTTACCTCCTCTAGAAGCTCCATATCTGTCAAAAATATCCTTTCGGTTTCAACGAGCTCTTTAATGACGTTCCACAATTTGCGTCGTCTTTTTAAATCTATTGAATGCTCATCTTCCTCTTCTATCACGGGTTCATTTGGAAAAATTGGAAGTGAGGTTTCACTTCTAGATCTACGACTAATATCAGAGAGAGGGGAATTCACCGATTTAGCAGGAGGAGAGTACTGGGAAGGTGATTTATCTGGTATAGGAGGCAAGGCTTTTGAAGTTTCTATGTGTAAACCCTGAGGGCGCATTGAGCTTGGTGAGGTCATAGAAAGAAGATTCGCAATACTAGTTCTTTTTGTTTCAAAATCGCCTTCTGTAGTTATAGATATAGGATTTGCTTTTGATTGAGTATCACCGTGAGGATTTCCCAAAATCTTCTTATTTGAACTACTTGAATCTCCTTTATGTGAAGAGTTCAATTGTCTTCCCGCTTTACTTTGTGGTTCAGGCATATCATCTTTGCCTGATGCTTCGACCCACTCAATACTAGCGTTTATTAATTCTGTCTCGTTTTGAGTAAATAAACCTACTTCAGGATCGATGGATTGTGCAGTTTTCCTTTCCAAACTCTTTGTGGTCTTGTTAATGCTGCTGGTACGCTTGGGTATGTTGACGAGCACCTTTTGTTTATCCGGTCTTTTTGTTACACTGTGATTTTTGGAAGAAGCAGACGATATTTTGGTTGAAATGGGAGGAATCTTGATTTCCATAAATACTTTAGTTTAAATAGAATAAAAAAATAAAGAAGAAAAAAAGTTTTTTTGTGCTCACAGTTTTGTCCCTATTTGTTTGCTGAAACTTCGCTTTGAGATCGCCGAACGCCATTGAAGATTCGTCTATGGCTGAGTTTGACTCACTTGTCATGTTGACACGCAATGTTTTTTTGGAAGGATTAGGTTTTACTATTTGTGGAACCGGCAATTTAGGTGATAAAGGAAGGGAAGGGACGGTGCGTGAATCTTCAAAGACGCTTGATAGCCTATTAATATTTGCCCCTCGGATATTGGGATTTACTCGTTTCGGTGGCACAGATGAAGAATTGGGTTCACTGTCAATTTTATTGGAATGAGTGGGTGAAAGTTTAGGTGGCTTTGGCTTTGGTGCGGGTGGAGTCTTATTAACCTTTGTGATTTTCGGTCGAGCGCCACTTTTACAAGTACCTTTATCCATCACCCTTTATATGTATATATATCTATGACAAAAATCGTTGGTAGAATTTTTCGTAATATTCTGAGGTCGCAATGGTGTATAAATCACGTTAATTCTATAACGTACCCAAGCGAACCGCGCACATGCGATGTCAAAGACAGTGAAATTCACCTCTGCCCGTGAAAGGATCTTTGGAAAAGAAAAATCTTATAGAAATAATTGGTGATATTCTCGATATTTACCAGGGCTTTATTATGCAAAGAAAAAATTTCCTGAGAATCTTGCGTGTCTCGTTATGCACGTACACCGAGGCTTCCCAAACGGCTGCAAAATATTTCTTAAGCTTCCTTTGAAAACGAGTGAAAAAAAGCCAAATTTTCTCAGAGAAAAAATGAAGACAACACGTTACCAGAATAAAAATCTAGATCCAACGCAGTAAATCTTTATCAGAGAACTTGAGATTAAAGTAATCAGAAATATCGCATACGTGGAGTCAAACGTCAGAATTTTACCATTAATATTGTAAACATCTTTAATGCCGATTATTGCCTTAAATGTTTTTACTGTGAATGATATGAGTGATATGCATGGCAGTAATTGCATACGTACTTTTCCCAAGAAAAATCCGTGAGACGTTTAACCAATATCCAAACCAATCCGCGAATATGGTAGTGAAAGGTTGCACAAAATAAATTACTAGTTGATCAAAGAATAAATCTAGTTTGCGAACAAGTTCTACCAAACAAATACATGGGTCCAATCTATGAGAAAACTGCAACCTCTCCAGTAAACATTGCGGTCATCAAGTACTGGGGAAAGAGGGACAGCGTCCTAATCCTTCCAACAAACTCTTCGCTGTCTGTAACACTGTCCCAAGAAAATTTACAAAGCAAAACCACAATTCGTGCTTCGCCCGACTTTAAAAAAGATAGGTTATGGCTCAATGGTGTGGAGGAAGCTGACGTTACTAAAAACAAAAGACTACAAAATTGTTTGCGTGAAACTCGACGTTTGCGAAAAGAATACGAAAAAAAATTGTGCGAAGAAGTAGGCGCAGAAAACACTATTCCTTTATCCGAGTACAATGTTCATATATGCTCGGAAAATAATTTTCCTACAGCCGCTGGTTTAGCCTCTTCAGCTTCAGGGTTTGCATGCTTGGTTTACACCCTAGCCCAATTATACGAATTACCCGTGTCTGACACAGAACTGTCAAAAATTGCAAGACAGGGTTCGGGCTCTGCTTGTCGTTCTTTGTTTGGTGGGTTTGTTGCATGGGAAATGGGTTCCCAGGACGACGGATCCGACAGTCAAGCAATACAAGTTGCACCAAAGGATCATTGGCCCGAATTAGAAGCCCTAATATGCGTAGTTAGTGATGCTAAAAAAGGAACTAGCAGTACAGAAGGAATGCAGAATACGGTTGCCACTTCGCCACTTATTCAACATCGTATCAAGCATGTAGTCCCTGAACGTATGAAATCCATGACCGAAGCCATCCTCAAGCGTGATTTTCGAAAATTCGCTGAAATTACCATGCGAGATTCAAATCAATTTCACGCCGTCTGCTTAGACACCTTTCCCCCAATCTTTTATCTTAATGACGTTTCTCGTGCCATCATTCGTGTTATCACCGAGTATAACTCCTCCAACGAATCCGGCGAGCTGAAAGCTGCTTATACCTTCGATGCTGGTCCGAATGCCGTTATATATGCTCCACGAGAAAATATTCCCGAAATAATTAACATTATCGCAAAATATTTTCCGGGTGACATTGATAATGGCAATGAATACTTTACCGATCCTTATCATTTATTTTCTGGAAATCAGGTTGGAAAACAACCATTGCCTCGAGGATTCAATGAACAAATAATTCCCGTGTTTGCTCCCGGAAGCGTGAAACAAATTTTACATACCAAAGTCGGTAATGGACCACAAACCTTGACTGGAAAAGCTGACAGTTTATTGGACGAGCAAGGTTGGCCCAAAAGAATGACTTAGTTTAAGGTGCGATAATTTGTCACCGCATACTATTGTAGCTCCCATACTACCATATGTTTCTCAATGAACCCACATTTTAGATAATAAATAAATTTAATTCACCCATACACCACCAGTATTCTGTATATAATGATCATCGAACGTGTTTGTGTGCAACGTATAATTTATTCCAGACAATTACCACAATCTATATTTTGTCATTTGAATCGCGGATATTCCTGCATAACTGCACGTATCGATATACAATGGTCCTGTGCGCTGCAATTATCATTTTGTTTTGCAATCAAGCCGCCAATGCTGTAAAATATTTGTCCCACCCAAATTGTAATACATGCTTGTAACATGTTATTTTTATTCCTAGATTCTGAGTCTGAGAGGCTTTCTATTTCGAATTTTTTTCTTGGCAAATATTTAAGATATTCAACGTTTGCGCGAATCATAATAAATATATCATCGAGTAATAACAGCATTATGATCAAAAAATAATTTAGATTATACGTTTCATTATTTACAGTATATACAGTATGGTGCAAAAGGAAAAATTTAGAATTTTTTTAAGCCTATATTTTTATTAATAAATCAGTATAAGATTATAAAACTTTACAATCCTATTTTTTAAGATAATAAACAATTATTTATTAATTTTGTTGTTAATGTTAAACTTGAGATTTTTTTTTAAAAAAATAATAATACATTATACATATTTCACTATAGTAATTTTTAAAAATCAGAAAAAGTTAACTAATAAAATAATTTACAAAAAAATTTTTTATGGTATTTAATTGAATTACTACTTTTTTTGTAAATATTCTGATCAATCTTTTTATTATAGAATATACAGTATATTGTACACATAAACAATAATTAATTTATTTTTCTATTGAATAAATATATATATATGTGGTATTAAATATTTTTCATTTAATATTTTTTCTATAAATTCATAATAGTTTAAAAGGTTTTTAAAAGCAAAACCATCATATACTGTACATATTTATAAATTGGTTTTTATTTTTTTATTAGAGAATTGTACAAGTTGTTTTTTTTTAATTTATCATATTATAAAAAATAGGTATTTGATTGTTTTTTCTATATAACATTTAACAAAAAATCTAGCATTATAATTAACAATATATAAAATAATCAAGTATTTTTCAAAAATATAATTAAAAAAATATTTATTTCTAATTTTCAGATCGAAACAAATTCTGGACACATTATTATCATTGATTTCGGAAATTAGATTCTAGAAACAAGAGATCACTCCAAAAAATCTTATACATTCAGATTGGGTACATAACAGTCAATTTTCTATAATCATCAAAATGATAAAGTTGATGTTTCTAAGTTACTTTATTCTAACTAATTTATCAAATGTTTAAATAAGGAAAGTTGAATAATTATTGGTTATCTGTATTAGGATGTCTTGAACAACATCAGATTATTACCATATTATGAAATAAGTATTCGTACACTTCTACAAAAATTCAAAATGATAAATCCAAAATAATTTATAATTAAATGCCGAATATAATTACGCAAAACGGCCTCTAATCATTATAAATAAGGGCAACTCTTATTTTTCAGCTCTTTCGACTACTTCTACCATTTGCTTTCGAGCATTCTCTATTCCTTCCAGAGATCCAACGAAAACTACATCACCCTCGTTCTTTTTTGGGACTTCAATTCTACACCCACTTTCATTACGAATACGGGCAATTGTAGTTCCATGGCGACCAATGATATGACGGTAATATTGTTGAGGAATGGTCATGTAACCTGTGTGAGTGAATTTGATCTGTTTTTTAATGGGAAAGGTGTTAGGTAAAATTTAGGCAAACATAAAAAAATGCATTCAAAGTAATAAATTAAATTAACCTCGTTCTCAAAGAAATCATTCAAATATTTTTCCGCGAGTCCAACCTGCGATCTTTCTCCTTTCAAGACAAATTTAATTTCTCCATTATCGTCCTCATCAAAGTTTTTTTCAAAGTGCCACCCATAATCATTTTTGGATAAATCTGCTTCACCATCATCATCATCATCATCAATTCGTTTATGAGTTCCATTAGTAGCCGGCTTTTTAAAGGAACTTTCTTTTGGCATTTCATTGCATTCCAATTGAACATGAAATTCATTCCAAAGTTTACGTGATACAGTGCCTTCGGGTGACAACATTTTGAAGAATTTAAGCGGGACGCTTATCGCATGTTCGCATTGAATTTTGGACTGTGGTAGTAGTACATAGTTGTAATAGTAAGAATCATGAATACATTCGGATTGGATGTTATGATAAAAACTTACCATTATTTCTTCTTTAGCAGCTTCAATGTCTTCCGGTTTACCAATAATTTTCACGGCATCGTCGTCTTCGACCTCTTCGCCAATATTACTTGCAGGAAGGGTATCATGATAAGAACGAGAGGCGGGAAATCGGATCTCTACATTAAATCGATTTTGTATCTCGCGAAGTTGATTTCCACCACGTCCAATGATAGCAGGATGTTGTGAACGGGGAATTTTAATAATTTCAACTTTTAGGCGGCTCTGTATCCATAAAAAAAGAAAATCTTAACATGTACTTATTTCTTCGCGAATGTAATAACAAATATATTCATCAGATTTGATATTTGCATTAATTACCTGTTCTTCAACTAATCTTTCAAGTTCCGCCTTCACCTTCTCCACAATGTCTCTCTCACCTTTAAGGATTACCTCATCACTACTATTACCCGGACGGGGGAATTTCACAATGCCAGCTTGATTACTTTTGTCCTCAGTACCACAAGCTTTAGCCACTATTTCACGAATTCGGTTGCCACCAGGACCAATTAAATATCTGTGATGTTGCGGGTCAATATTCATTATAATAGTAATCTGCTTTTCAAATTCGTTTACAATGTCGAGGATCATATTTTTAGCCTTGACAATATCTCCCTTTGTTCCTTGAACAGAAACATTCACAACTTGATTGGTTGCATCCTCTCCCTGCGATTCTGGCCTTCCTAAGTCTATACGAGTGAAGGTTGCATCTTTGATTTCTATGATTCTGCTACCATTACGACCAACTATGTGGGGAAGATATTGAGCAGGAATGGTAAAAGTTTCGGAATTCGAATGTTCCTTTTCATAATCCAGCAAATCCAATAACTCGGTCTTTGCGTCGTTAGCTCCTCTCTTTCCCCCTTTAATAATAACTTCATCAGCTTTTTGTGCATCATCATCGAGTTCACCTTCTTCGGTTTGATCTTTAGATTTCGGAAAATGAATGTGAACACCGTATTTTTCTTCGAGACGTTTAACATAGCGACCTTTGGCGCCAATCAATGATTTATGGTGTTCCGGGGGAATTTTAATGCGAAGTACAGTGGCATCTTGAAGTTTATCCACGTGATCCAAAATTCTTGCCTTCGCGTCTTCAACATCAGCCTTCTTGCCCATGATAGTGACTTTGACACTTTCACCGGGGGTAGTCTTCTTTTCTTCATTCTTGCCACCCTCAATATCAATCCTTACATTATAATTCTCTTTCAACTTAGTTACTTGAGCGCCACCTTTTCCAATAATATGGGCAGAATACTGGGCGGGAAAGGTAAACTCAACAGTGTAAGAATTCATTATCTATTGAAAGAGAAAGATATAAACTTTAAAAACATATATCTGACAAAAAATTCCAAGTATACAACTTTAAAATGCATTAACCTCATGATGTTTTGCTTCTTCAACAACTCGGTTAATCTCTTTAACCACTCTTTCAACCTCTTCAGTTGGGCCCTTAATTACCACCACATCATTAGACATAAGCACTAGATCCAATTTTTTACCTTCTGCATGTGCGGATCGTTCTGCTGCGCCGGTTCGAGAAGATCCAAACTTCACGGAAACTGGGGCGTCAATGCCACCAGTGATACTGTTGAGTGTCGCACCTCTTGGTCCAATTATGTGTCGATGAAATTTGACAGGGATGTTGAGGGTTTGTGTAGCAAAATCAGACTATTATAGAAAGTATAGATTCGTTAATATTTTTGCCATCCTAACGAATGAATTTTAACGATTACTTACCGCATCTTGTCCAGCCTTAATCAGTTCATTCTTAGCCTTTTCCAATACTTCTTTGATATGCTCTTTTTTTTTCTTATCAGCGGGGATCTCTTCATGTTTACCCTCATAGACAATTAAAATATCTGGGCTCTCATCCTTTTCATCAGGCACGATGATTTCAACGCCGTAGGTCTCTTTTACTCTCTGAAGATTTTGACCCTTGCGACCGATAACATGCCTATGAAGATGTGGCTCGATGGTGGCAACAGCAAAATTTCCTGGAGGCTAGAAAACACGAGAAATGTGTAGAGTTACTAAAAATGATTACATCTAAATTAATCAGAAATAAAATTACACGTACCAAATTCTTGATAATCTCAGTTACCTCCCTTCTGGCATTTTCTACGTTAACCTTATTAGAATTTTCAGCGTCTGCAGGAACTTTGCACACAAATTCCAGGACCGCACCCTTTTCCAACGACGGTCCCTTCGGCGAAATTATTTGAATATTGTAATCAGTCTCAATCTTTTTGAGCTTTCCTCTATTAACCAGATACTTCAGAACATTTTTGACGTGTTCCTGATCTGATTTATGAACATGCGCAATGTCAAGCACCTCGACATGAATGGAACCGGCCTTCTCCATTACAGCTTGCAAAGCAACCATAAGTTGGTTTTGTAACCCACGGATAGTCACTTTATCTGATGGGTCCGATAGTGGTGAAAGTTCCAAGGAACATCCTGTGGTTTCAAGAATTTCATGGAGGTAAGCACCTTTCGTACCAGCAAGATATTTTTGCTGAAACTTGGGAATATCGACAGTAATAGTACGAGTGTTGCTTTTCTATTAAATAATAAAAATTAAAATCACAGTCCCTTTTTAAATTTTGATATCAACAAATTATTTTTTACCAAGTCCATATAAATTTCTTCGATTAATTCAATAGCCTTTTTCACAGCTTCGCGTTCTCCGTTGACAACAATGCTATCTCTTTCGTGACCATCACCATTTTCATGGATCGCAATATATGGAGGAAAATGAATTTTGACACCAGTTTCCGAGATAATTCTTTGAATTTGCCTGTTACGAGCACCCATGATTAAAGGAAAGTAACAGCGTTCGATGTGAGTGATTCGACGCCTGATCTCCTGAAAGGTTAAATAGATTTAGAAGCAGCTTTTATGAAAAAATTACTTTGAAATGATAATACGAATTCTTACCCTATCATTGACAATAGCTTCAATTTCTGCTTTAGCTGCAGATACTCCTTTCACGTCACCCTCAATCTTGACACTCATCATTTCTTCTTCTTCATCGTAATCAGACTCCAATTTTTCTTCAACGGAATTTTCTTGACGAGGTGGTAACTGAATTCGAGTGCCTGTCTTCATGGTAATTGCCTGTAAAGTTTGACCGCGATATCCGAGAAGAACAAGACGCGCAGAAACCGGAACTTGTATGATTGCTTCAATCTAAACATAACGAAAATCATTCGCGAAATTGTTTAAATGAACGCGTAAATGCAAATTGCATAAAATGATCTGCGATTAGCATATAAATCTACCTTAACGGCTAAGTTATCTAGAAGTTCACGCTTCGCTCTCATTACGTCTTCTAGCTTCCCCTTAATCAAGTAAGTGGTTGTACCGGTCCTTTGAGCAGTGGACACATCAATGTGAACGTTAGTTTTATCCTTGATACGCTTAACAATATCAGCAGTTGTGGTTTTATTGCCAAATTCTCTTTTTTGTAATTGCTGAGACGCAGGCAATTCGAGTCTCTCGGTAATAATACTTGGTTTCTTAATAGCAGGATTTGAGTGTAACGCGGTAAATGGCTCGGTATTTTGTTTACGGTTATCACTAGTTGAACCAGCAGATGCAGAACCGGAATTGCGAATGAGCTCAGCACCAGAACGACTACCCCAAACAGATGACTTTGAGGACGCAGTCGTCGAAGAAAGTGAAGGAAAATCGGTGTCATAGGACGGGGCAGTGTTTCTTACGGTCGGATGTTCAATCTCGGTAGTAACCTCATTTTGAACGAGCAATTCGTGCTCTTCGTGAGCTTTTTGAAGCTTTACAGATGGAGGAAGTGGGGTATCTAAGCGTTCTTCCGGGAAGCTGATGTTAATAGGATGTTCGGGAGTTGCCATCGTGGAATAAAATCAGTTATGGGATTAATCCGTTGTCCGGTGACCAGTTGATATTGACAGAGAAGAGGGGAGTGTGGCTTGTTTGCCGAAGCCAGCGTTGCAACTTTGCGGTGTTTCAGAACGATTTTTGGTGGAGGGTTATTTGAAATGAGAAATTTCAAATTCGAAAACCAACCAAGATGACAGAAAACGATTATACAAGTAATGCACTTTAACAACTTAATGTAAAGCGTTTGAATTACAATCTGATAAAGGCTTAAAAGTGCAGATTCAAATTCCCAATTTTAATTGGGTATTGAAGCCGCACATTATAAATTCTTGTAGAACGTAACGAAAATTTTCTGATCGGCTGATTTAATATGTAACGATAATCGTTAACTTTATCCATTATAGTAAACGAAAGCCGATTATCTCTTGAAGCCACGTTTCTTTGCTTTTTGAATCTTTCCATTTGGCAAAATAACTAAGCAAAGTGTACGCCAGTCGTATATCAGAGAGAATAGAGAAAAAACTGGTTTTGAAAAAAATTTTTGTAAATGCATACGCTATCGTTTTTTAATTAACTTTCTCAAGTCAAGACTCCCCCTATCAATATTTCCACACAATATAAATTACTAAGTAGAAAGTCTCCAACAAAAGCCTATTCCACAGTCCCCTGACCATTAATTAATATCGTGTGTTTGCATTTCCAATAAAATATACAGCAACCTACATGATAGTCACCTGACAAGGGAACTGTCTTATTAGCTAAAAATGTTAAGTTTCCCCCTTTGTTAATATTTGTTGGCTTAATAAATACAGTCGCACTTTTTTTTCTACAGTAACTGATTTGGAATAATATGTCTATTTGTTTATTAACAAACAGATAGAAAATGTACTGTATTTGGAATCAAATTTAAATTTTGGGGTCAGATAATTTCCGAACAACAATTGCCACGTATTGTTGAACTAGGGACTGTCGTACTGCATTTTCAATGTAATTAATTATTAATTAATTTTTTTTTACCTAATAAATAAATAAATACATATTTATTTAAAAAAATTTAAAATTAGCTGTTACAATTAAAATTATTTTTTTAAAAAAATTGAAATTTAATATTTTTTATTAATATAAATATATTTAAAAATCAATATACAGAATATACAATGTAAGATAATATTATAATAAATAAAGCATGTTTTGTTTTTTATATCTATATAATTTTCATTATAAGAGTATTAAAAATTGAAAAAATAATTTAATTTGATGTAAAACATACTTTTTCGATAAATTAATTAACTTTTTCTAAAAAGCTTTTTGAAATTATATATACTTATACAGTACAGTTTATATAATAAATGTATTTAAAGGACTTACATTTAAAGAAAGTTCACGGCATTTGTTAAATTAGGATTCATAATCGAAACTGTCAAATTCATATAATGCTAGATCCGTATTACTTGTTGTCGTAGGGTAATATGCACATCAAATTCATTTCAAATAATAAATTATAATATATTTTAACTTTATAAAATCCATCGTGTACTAATAAACTAATTAATTTCATGCCATCTATTTTATGTTTTCGTTTGTCAAATTCTAAGAAAAATTAATATTAAATCTCATCAAATATAAATCAAATTAGATAATAATGACCATCCAACCATCTTATTATTTACACCATAACTTTTGATCTAAAATTGCGATCGTTGCACCAAGACACCATCCGGTCTCAATACCTTTTATCTTTTTGGCAATTTTCACTTCTCTCTCTAATGGAATTTCATATCCGACGTGTAATAATCCATATATGAATGTCAAATCCATACAATAGTGAGGATTCTTTCGAATTTCCTTCAACGCCTCTGGTAAGTGTGAGAATTGATCAATATCTCCGGAACATACAGAATCAGTTAAATCTCGAAGTTCTTTAAGCGAAAATTCATTAGGCATTCCTAAAGGACTAACTCTATCGTAAAAATATGAAAATGCATAAATTTCATTCTCAGAAAATGTATCCCTAAGTGGTGGTTGGTATATACCATTAAATGCGCATGGTGATATAGGACATGTTTTTTCTTTGTTTAGTACTTGTTCAGCGATGAATCGGCATTGGGCATGCCCAGCGCCAGTTCCAATGAGTTTTATAGTATCATCGTTGGGATCTAGCGGTTCGGAAAAATTCTTCGGTAGGCAAGGATGTGGAACGTGATCTTCTGATTGTTTTTCATCACTAGAAGCGAGACGCCAAAGGTCTGCCACAAATTTCTTTATCGCTTTTCTTGCTTCCATAAGTCCATAATACAAATATGAATGTTGATAAAGTACATATTTGTGACCACCAAACAACAACTCGTATCGGTGCTCTCCAGGGGAAACTTCGGTACCATCCATCATTTCTGGCTCAAAGACAATTTGAGTTGAGCCCCCACCGAGATCAAAAATCGCTGCCGTAGACAATTTTTTCGATGTACCAATTCTTCCTAATAAATAATTTACTGTGATCCATGCATAAACACCTTTCAAATTTTATATGATAAGATACATTTAAGAATTTTTATCGAAAAACGTAATATCAAAATACTCATACAAAAAAAAGAATAAATTTTTTACCTTCATCTTTACCATCCATAATTACCACACCATCATTCTCAATGATGGGGAAAGGATAATTAGTCTCTAAATGTTCTTGCACCGCTTCCAATATACTTTTACTTTTTGTTATGCCCAACAAACGAAGCCCGGCAGTTGCCTTAACAGCAACCGGTGTACAATTATAAAGTTCTTCGGGAACTTTTTCTAATGCTACTTTTAATAATACATCTAAACTTTTCGCGGCTGATATAGGATCATCAGGATAGGCGGAAAGTCCTGGTTTGGTGTGACTAAAAATTTCATCTTCTAATTCGGGAGAATCTTTACAATAATTAAACCGATAGACATGAATACGTGAGCCTGTAGACCCTGCATCAAGCATCAATGCATACTGAATCAACGGGCGACCTGGGTGTGGAACAGTGCAATGTTTGGATTTGAATTTGGGAGGTGTATTTTCTGTCTCAGATTTTTCGGGTACTTTAGTCGCAATACTAGTCTCTTCTATTATTTGTTCTGTAGTTATCGCGGACTCGAGTGCTGGTTTTATATTGTTCTCAGGTACTACGCTCTCTGGAATTTACATCCGAATAGTAAGTAAATTTCGTGATAAATCAAATTTTGTAATAGATTACCTTCGGATTCTAAGAAATCCCGAAAGAACAATATCAAACATATAAGTGTCAACAACAGTGCTGAAGTACGGAGCCATATTCTGTTTCTTTTTTTCTTTGGCACCATTTTGAAGTCGTCCCTCCCTTCCGATTGTTCGACCTCTTTGGTACCTTTTTCTGCCTTTTCCAAGGCCAACGAACCTCTTCTACGAGACGGAATTTTGTCTATGTTTGTGTCTTCGTCAGAACTTATTCGTTGTTGATTTTGAGATGCCGACGGTATGTAGTTACTTGAAAATTCTGGCATCGACCCGATAAATCTCGTACGAAAGTATACTATTTTCGACCAAAACTGGTTATAATTGACTATAAACTGTGCAACAAGGTAACTTGTGTAATTCAATAGACTTATATGGTAATAAGAAATAAAGTAATTTTTTTTTTAAACAAGCGAGACATTTATTAAATTATTATTATTTTCTATAATTAAACAAGCATATAATATTTATTTATTATAAAAGAACCAATCTGATACAGAATGTAAAGTGTGTTGCCAATCAATATATATAGTAAGATCATTAATTACAGTAACTAAGATAAAGATGTAAAAAATAGAAATCTATTTTTTTAAATATGTTTGTTTAAAAAGTTGAATACTTTAAAAATAATATATACATATTATATTTTTTTACTTTTCTTATTCAAAAGTCATTTATACTTTTTTTATTTTCATTATAAGAGTTTTAAAAAAACCAAAGAAATATACTTATACTGTATATTAGAATATAACTTTTAATTAAAGAAAAAAAAGTTTAAAAACCTTGATTTTTTTTTTGAATTATATAAAAAAATTTTATAACAATTACTTCTTTACTAATATTTCTTGAAGTTCTTCTATTATTACTTTTTATTAATATACAATTCTTATTAAATAATTATATTTATTTCTTAAAAAGCTATTCTTTAATTCAAAAAATTAAATTTTATATCAAAACTACAGTGGTGATCATATTTTTTTGGACAACTTTAAACGTGATTTAATAAATAACCAGTGATCGAAAAATTAAACTTTTTTTTTTATTTAAAAATAAAAAACCAAGAGATTTTTTTACATGATTTTAAAAATTTATTCTTTTCCCCTTTTTTGCAATAATTGCCTCGCATCATGATTTCATCGACCATACTAAATTCTTTATAACCATTTTAGATATTTTTTGCCATTCTTCCTCCATATATATTGTTAAATTACTCAAATTTCACAGATTTCTTTCTTCCACGTTTCTTTTAACCAGTGCCCACAGGTTCTCGATCGGGTTAAGATCAGGACTATTGAATGGCCAGTCCATTACGGCAGGCACATTTTCTTTGAGAAAACTCTTTGCTTTGTGGCTTGTGTACTTAGAATCATTATCCTGTTGCAGTCGCCAATTGTTCCTCATCATTTCTTTGATCTTGGGGAGTTGTTCTTCGATGATTTTGATGAAAAAATCAGCATCCATATTACTGGTGAAACAGTAAAGACTTGTTTTTCCATGGATCGAAAATCCACCTCACGAATGAATTTTTTGCTTGTTTTTAGGAACACTCAGCGTTAGTCTAGAATGCTTATACCACCATGTGATCGTGTTCTGGAACAGTTGGAATGATGTTTCATCCGAAAATAAAGTTCAGGACCAGTCATCATGAAGGTGGTTTTTAGCCCATTCTACTCTATTCTTTTTTTGCTTAAGTGTTAGCATTGGAACTGCAAGTAGAAAAGAATTTTTGTAACCGTGCTTAACAAGATACCTTCAAACTGTATGCCTAGAAACCGTAATATCCTGTTCTAAAAGTTTGCAGACTATACAAACTGTAGAAGCCATTGGATTATGCCAAATGTACTGACTTATAACTCTCGAAATATGGTTATTAATTTTATTTGATCTTCCTGCACCTGGTTTTTGCCCCAAATTGCCTACCTTTATCAACTTTTTAAGGTTGTAGTATACTGTAGAGTGACTAATGCTAGTTCTCTGTTGAATTTCCTGTGCACTCCATACACCATTTTTCCATAAGTGTAAAATTGCCTCACGTTGTTGTTTCTTTGCTAATCATTGCATTCTAAGATCTATTTCTCCCGATAGGTTCTATATAATTAGTGTTGAAACGCTATATACTTTTTCTATACAGTACAAAGTTTGTTTATGCAAGTTGGGGTCTTATATGTAATTGTGGCTTTGCCACAGCACATGATCAAAGTCACATGCGAGGTGTCCAAAAAATTATAACCACCACTGTATATTCAAATTTTTATTATTATTATTTTTTTTTTTTGGGTTTCCCCTCATAGGTAAGCATCATTTCTTTATTTGATATTGTATATAACATGGTATACATCG